GTCATAAACCATGCCCGCTCAAATGGCTGGAGCGAGGAAAGAGATTACTAATCCTTGATAAAACAAAGAATAAAGCAAACAATCATGAAATGTAAACCTAACACTCCCTGTTTTCTGTCACTCTTCACCAAACCCAGGGCTCCATCCAGCAGCTGCTGCTGAAGTCAGACGCCACCGCTCCAGATGACCAGTGTGAAGAGGATGATCCTTATGTGAGTCCGCATAAACAAAACATGTTCATGGTTTGAAAGTTCAACTCGAAATCTTTCTTTGAAAACATGTTCTGGTCTGTAAACATGGAACTACACCGCCCTCTGCTGGCTGCAGGACGGCATTACATAAAACTCTAAAATGTCAGAAAGGATACGTTCATTTCAGCACAAATAAATAAAGTGTTGCTTTCTCATTGACACTAGATACAGATTATAAGGGTATGTTTTTCCCATGAGATTCAAATTCAATTCAGATGTAGATCAAAATAAATACCTAACCCAATTTACCATAGCATTATGGTACATCTCACTTTATATACNTATATTCTCCATTTACACAACAAGGTTGTATTTACACAAATAACAGCTCAGCAGATGATAAACCAAGAGCATAGTTTCTGGATTTTTTATAGATTTTTTATTTTGGTGGGGTGGGGGGGATAAAGTGTTCCTGTCCAAAGGTGTTTTTTGATGTTCATATGCTCAGAGGGCTGATAAACAAAAACGAGTCTGTGGTGCAATAATTATTTAAAAGATTACAAATTTGTAAATATAAACAYATTTTCAAGAACTTATGTCTAGAAAGTACTTTATTCGTTTTTGATTTAAATAACATGGCTTGAAATATGGTCATAAAATATACATTCGGTCCGTCAATCAGTCTGTGAACAGAAAAGGAATAACGTTTATTTACTTGTTTGTTCATTTCTTCATTCATTATTTTTGTACTTTGGATAAATCTGTGTGGGTTTTACATGTTGGTAATAAGTAATAAACACCTTAATTCACTTTTTGGAACAAAGCAAGCAGACTGATCCAAACAACTAAGTAAATTTACTTAGGGCTCCACAAATTTTACAAATTTCCTAAGCTAATATTTTGACTGTATAAAAATCAAATAGTCTGTTCTCAGAAAAGCATGTCTCTAATTTCAGTAATCTACCAGCAAACTGAAATGCAAACATTATTTCTTGTTTTGTTGATGTATTTCCTCATTACACTGCATGYATCAATCATCAATCATTATTTGTCAGTTTTTTTTTTCTGTCTTCCTCCGTGTTTTTGTTCTGATTTCTTCCTCTTCATTATCTCACGTTCAMTTCAGGCCTCTGGTTATGGGAGCGGAGAGGAAGACTATGGTGACCGAAACGAAATAGAAGAAGTGAAGAAGATTGTGGAGGAGAGAGAATATACAATGGTCTGTATATACACACATGCACACACACAGTCTCATCACACTGTCCTGTTTATTTATTTATTTTTTTCACCTTTTAATTTAACTGGACTCCAACCAATGAAAGCAGCTCTTATCCTGGCAGGCCTGTTGGAGCCTGGAACATGGAGTTACTGTGTGCACTGCTCCTCRCCAACTCAGTGTTCTCCAAGATAACCCACAGGGCAGGGAGAGGAGGGATGGGGGAGAAGGCTGAAMGATTATTAAACTTTCTCAAACAGTTCCATGGGAGAATTTATTTTTATTTTGTACCAGGATTTGGCATCTGACATGRGTCTCAATTGGCTCTGTCACTTGGAAAACTCAATCCTGTCACTGAARGTCTGCATTTCTATTTACACTTTACAAAATATGTTAGTTTGTGAATTTATTAAATGATTGCTATTATGAGAAAGTTGAGTTTGGTTTATTTTTAAAACTTTCTTTATGCTCAAACATGTAAAAATCAAAGTTCAGACACATGCAGGCTGTGAATGTTTAGGATTTTAAGAAAGATTCCTCTGCTGTTGYATCTGAATAAAATTCTCAGGGTTTGTATGCCACATTGGGCTCAGCCTAAAAGCTCCATGTCAATGGATGATCCAAAGATATCATACTGCACACAAGTTATAGGCTGCAGGGGTGTCAAACTCATTTTCGTTGAGGGCCACATGAGCGTTATGGTGGCCCTCGARGGGCCAGTTGTAATGAACTTTGATGTTTCATGTTTAACTTTGACTAAACAGAGTTTAACATGTCCTCTTTTAAACACTGATAAGAACTAAGTGTGTGACTGAGTAAATCTGAAATAAATATAGAAATCTTAAAAGTAAAACAAATAAAGTTTTACTCACTGATGAGTTTCTAGTGAGTAGCTGCATTATGGCAGATTTAGTTTATGGTTGATGTTGACTTTAAAGCAGCTTATTTTCAGATATTAACATTGTGCTATCCAACTAAATTGCTCAGTTACTTAAAGCCAACAGCTCAGGGGTAGGTCAACTGTTATTATCATTCACCTTTTAAGTTTATTTTGTTGCATTTAATCATAAATTTAAAGTTTACCATTGATATAAGAAACTATTTTCATGTTAAGTAAAAAAAAGGGGCAGGGTGCACACGGGAGTCACCTTGAGTTTGACACGTGTTGTAGGGCATCCCTAGAATTTCAAATGTTTTGCTTCCAAAAGCACAATTTTATTGTATTATGTTCAAAACAACGCAGACAGCTGTAAGCAGTGACATCCACAGATTTAATATTTGAAAAAAAGAACCCACAATTCTTTACTTAGTTTTATAAAACTTATACAAGACAAAAGTTAAATGATGTCAAAATCATGTCCTCAATTTATTTATTTCACTTACTTGTCACTACATTAAAAAAAACATAGCAGTATTTGTACTACACAGTATGTCTTCAAACTATTTGAAGGTATTTCAGAGATTTGCTTAAGGCTGTTTTTTTCACTCGTCCTCACACAACTACGCTTGTTTGTTTGCATTTTTAGCACCTTCATTCATTCAGGCATTAAAGAAGCTGCTGAACTTAAAGGATGAGGCAGTGTTGCTGCAACAAAGAACCACAGAACTCTCTTTGGCCTTGTTTTCACTTAAAAGATCAAAACCCACCTTCAGTTTTCTTAACACACTCAGTAACATGTCTTTTTTTTTTCTCCATCTGTTATTTTTACCTAATAAAATACTGACCGCATTTATGAGACTGATGTTTACAAAGTGTCTTCATTCATGTTCAAAGCAGTAATTTCCTTTTTGGCTTTCCTGCCAAAAATTTGATGAGAAAATTATACTACAGCTCAATTTTTTTTGTCTTGTAAACACAGAGCTGCAGCCAGGATATAATTAAAGTGTAAAAACAGCAGCCTGTGTGTGATTTTTTAAAGAGCTAAATGACATTTCACTCAGGATGAAACGAATTGCTGTTTAACCGGTCTGTCCACTTGTGTTCTGATCACAGGGATCAGGTTAGCAGTAAGCAGCTCAAGTGCCACACATCATACATAAAGTGACTTAAAGTAGCATTAAGGACTTCATATGAAACTAGAGAATTTGCTTTTCCTGCAAAAATGCAGTGTGGATTCTTAATTCTGAAAGATTGTTGCTGAAAACAAACAGCTTAAACTAGCTTAAAAGTAGCTGAAAWTAGCACTAAGAAACAGTAAAAGCTTCGATGGACTTGTGACCTGTCCAGGGGGTACCACGCCCCTCACACAGTGACTGTTGGATATGGGCACCAGTGACCCCCATGATCCTGAAAGGAAGAAGTGGGTACAGGTAATGGATGGATGGATGGAAACAGGGAGAGCAAGTTTGCTGAATTAAGCAGCAAGAAGCTGAAATGATCTCAAAAAGTACACTTAGCCGAAAACAAGCTAAAAAGTAGCTTCCCCACCCCCCCAAAAAAAGAGCTGGAATTAGCAAAAAGCAGCTGAAATAAGCCTAAAGTGCTTAAAATAGGAAGGAACATAAAAAAGTTGAAAGTAGCAGAATAGCATTAAATGTCAAAATGATAAATAAAAGGAGAAAAAGCTAAAACAAATCAGCTAAATTGAAGCTGAAGGAAGCTTAGCACAAAGAAAGCAGAACCAGAACAAAAGGTACAAAAGGTACAGTAAAGATTTATGACTATTTTCAAAGGATTTAAGGATGTTGAAAACAGCTCCATTTGTTTTTAATGAGAAAAAAACATGGCCAAAAAAAGTTAAATATCGATGTAAATGGCTGAAATACCAGAAGACATAGCTGAAATATATTTTTTATGAAAGAAGCTGAAAATTTTCATATTTTAATTGTTGAAAAAAATATGAACAAGAT